TTGAAAAGTTCAAGGGGGCCGAATACTTTCGCAAGGCACTGTATACGACCCCAGGACGAAGCAGACAGTGGTAAAACATTGTTTAAAGAATTTGGTGAGAAATATTGCATTGAAAAGTGGTGGTGGACCTCATTATTTTGACAAACGTTTGTTAAGTGTCATGTCTTTTCAATCTGAAAATAAGAACTTTAACCTCACATTTGTGTCTTTAACCACCAAACACATTAGGTTCCCTGTTGTTAGACTGGCTTGCTCTTTGTTGTGTTTAAAGATGCAATACATAACAAGTCTATGGCACAGCAGGCATTTTTATCCTTAATCATATTTCAGTTGGACTACAAATAGATTCATTTAATTAATTTAATTTCTGATGAATTACAATCAGAGATGTAAAGTACCTAAACATTGTATTCTATGTGTTTTCAAAGAAGATAACACATTATGACTGGATAAGGGTGGATGAGGCTAAGCAATACATTTGAAGTGCTTGAGGAAATAGAGCCAAAGCAACAATTACTGCTGGAGCTTAAGAGCTATTTTAATAAGATGGGTGATTCTGTTGAGGCTGACAGACTAACACTGCAAAGAAAGCTGAGTGCTGAATGTTATCGGGTGGAAACATTAGAACTTATGTAACTCTTGGCTGTTTTTCCTTGATGATGAAGATTTATGACAGAAATGTTGCGGATGTCCTGTGATAGTAAGCTGTGTTTTTCTTACAGTTACAACACGACATTTTTAGAATCATCATGTTTGTGATGTTGTTTTTTAACACATGCTTGAGAACATAAAATATGTACCTAGAAAGATAACGATAATGATACAAATAGAAAAAAAAGATTCATTTTACAGATTCATTTCCTGGTTGTCGATAACCTTTATTTGAGATTTTTTATTTTGTTATTGTTCTTTTCTTAGATACAATCCAGTTTACATAAATTATATTGTTACTATGGACACACCACATACTGTCCCTAAAGTGCACTTGTTTGTGTTTTATTTCAGTACCCTGAGGAAGAACGTCAGACAAACATGGCCCTACACAAAAAGATCTGGAACCTAATGGAATTACTGATTGAGAGCTGACATTGCATGTTAGGAAATGAAAATGGGTGAAATACTTTTCCATTATCCTTTCAATTGTTCAGACACCGAGAACTGCTCTCGTAGGAACATTTCAATGTTGTCATTTGGAGAGGAATGCCAAGCTCATCTGCCTATGTTCTTCATCATGGCTATTGCTTACAGTGCTGTAGCCCTCCTGGGGGTGTCTGGAAACCTCGCACTGATTGTTGTAATTACAAAGCAGAAGGAAATGCATAACGTCACCAATATCTTAATTGCCAATCTTTCGGTTTCAGATTTGCTCATGGCTGTCATGTGCCTACCTTTTACATTTGTCTATACTTTCATGGACCACTGGATCTTTGGAGAAGCCATGTGCAAGTTGAACAGTATGGTGCAGTGCTTCTCTATTTCTGTTTCCATCTTTTCCTTGGTCTTAATAGCTGTTGAACGTCATCAGCTCATTCTCAATCCCCGTGGATGGAGGCCCAACAATATGCACGCCTACATTGGGATAACTATAATATGGGTCTTAGCTATCCTCACATCCCTGCCTTTCATGCTGTTCTCCTTAGTGACTGATGATCCATTGAAGTTGCTGCCACATTTCTACGAACATTATGTTGGCAAGGTTGTATGTGTTGAGGAGTGGCCTTCACGTACATTTAGGCTCACCTACACCACATGTATGCTCATCATACAGTATATTGGACCTCTTTGCTTCATATTCATATGTTACTTAAAGGTAAGGTATGCATATTACATTTTAACGAAAATTGCAGTTTTGTGTTTATTTGCCTTAAAAGTGCCCAGATAAAAGGTATACAATCTAGTGCAGCAGTGGAGTGATGTTTTGAGTGTAATTTAAATGGTCACCACAATGGAAAAAAATGTATCCATATGAACGACAGTTGTTTTGTGCATGCTTCCAAATTAATAGGCAGTGACAATACAGTACTTTATTTGAAAAGGATGCAGCAGAGCATCTGAAAACCTTTCCAGTTGGTACTGTACATAACTTAGTGATGATTGATTCGGATCTGCATTTTCTTTGTTTTGTTTAAATTATTTTAATTATATTTAGCACTCGACAAAAACAGACTGTGAAAGTGTAAAAATGAAAAAAGGCTTCGATTTATTTAGGAAATATCACTGATACAGATGTTCTATTTAAAATTAACTATACTTTTATGATGTTCATTATGAATAACACCTGCAAATATAAATACAAATAAAAATTGCAAATAACTTTATTAATATTATGATCTAAATCATAGCCATTTTGGTGATCTAAACTAACCACTAATTGACTAAGTAATTCATTTTTCCACAGGGAGACAGTCTCAGGGACTAGTTTAAATATAATTCTCTGCAGGTTAAATTATAATATCACAGATTATTTTAAGACACTTATTAAATAATCTGCTTTATGTGCCAGAAAATGTATTATATGTACAGTAGGACTACAAAACTGATTAATAATCAGTTGTTTGATAAAAAAAACAATCAGTTTAGTTTTGTAGGGATGCTAGAAGGCACGGGATAGTTCAGGGTAGTTTTTAAGTAAGTTTATTTCACAGGCCCTCCAGAGAGTTGTGCAAAGAGGCACCAGTCATCTATTTTTCCCTAAGCTTTAAAGCACAAAGCATTTCTGAGTGTTTTTATACCTTAGGCATAGCCTCCTATGTTAGTATAAATGCTATAAAAGACATATTTGGCATGAATATATTTAAAATCTAACATAAAATGTAAATTACACAAAATGAATATCTAGCTGTCAAACATTCCCTAGGGTCCCTGGTCAGTCTAAATAAAGAACCAAAGTTACAGCAGGCAGGCAATATGTTTTTTAAACACGAAGAGATTACATGTAACCGATTTCTACAGATTTTTATTGAAGGAGGGCGTTTTAGTTATCCGAGTATGTTTTCAGATTTGACGGCCTGGTCTTCCATACAGGTATGTCATTGCAAAGGCAATGCTGAAAGACAAGTTCAGATATTAAATTCCTATCTAATGACCAAATATTTATCTGTATGTTATCCATTTAACATTAATGCATGTTGCATTAATGTGTCTGATATCTATAATTGCATATAAGGACTTAAATCGAATGTATGTGTCTCATAAATTACAGTACATCTCTTATTAAAAAAAATGAAAATCATGAAAAGAGAAATAACAACCATACAATACAGTACAAAAACATTACTGTGGTAAAAAACTCTAGAAGAAATCATTTAGATTCATATTAAAATTAACTAATTTGAATTGGACTTAATCTCCACTGACCAGAAAACATTTAATGTGGCTTTTAAAATAGAAAATAGAAATTGGGTAGCTGACAGAATGGATTGTTCTTTGTGGTGCAAACAGTCAAGAATTGACCTAGAAAAGCACTGGCCCTAAATAGGGCAATTGAACCAGACTTGCCTGTGGAATTAGTCTAGTGTTATTCCGGGTCTAGCCTCTGAAGAGTGGATGTAAAGATACACAAGGAGGGAATGAGTGAAAAATAAACCCTCTTAATGTAATCAGGGAAACATATATATGAGAACAAATATTTACACTTTTGCTTTCAAATTGTTAATTCAGACTAAAATATTGTTATAAAATTGGCTTTAAACAAAGCCAAAGTGAAGCACATTTGTATTGGGAAAACGAGCACAAGCTTAGAAGTTTATAAAAAGACTTAAATGACATGCATGATCCTTACAGTAGTTTAATTTTTAGGTTGCATTTTAAAATGTTGATGCTGTCTTGGTTTTACCAGTGTTTTTAAATCACAAATAAAGTGAAGAAAGAACCATTTTAATAATATTTTTTAAAATGTCAATTATCATTTTGGCAGTTACTAACTTCAAGATCACACAGGAATATCTATTTACAATAATATCTATTGAAAAATGTTTTTGTTTTATTTGTTAATGTGATCTTTTTATTTTTCCTTAATGCATCCATTAAACTTTCTCATGAGTTCCAGCACAGTACTCTAAATTGTATAACATGTTTTCTTAATGTTAGAGTGTGATTTCTTATTTCTCTTTATCAAGTAAATAGTTGAAGTACAAGTTCAGTCTTCTTATGAACTTATTGTGTGTTCTGAAAAGTACATTTTTAGTCATTGTGATACACTGTAACTGAATTGTAATATCCATTCAAGTATAAGGCTAATAAATGACACATGGAATTACAATGAGTCTGAACATATTTGAATAATATGAATACTGGTCTCTGTACTGTTCATAATTACTATTTTTCTTTCAGATTTATGTGCGTCTCAAAAGAAGAAATAACATGATGGACAAAATGAGAGAAAATAAATACAGATCCAGTGAAACGAAAAGAATAAATGTCATGCTGTTTTCCATAGTGGTGGCATTTGCAATCTGCTGGCTTCCTCTCAATATTTTCAATGCAGTAATTGACTGGAATCATGAAATCATAATGAACTGCAACCACAACCCCCTATTCTCTCTGTGTCACTTGACAGCAATGGTTTCTGTTTGTGTAAATCCCATCTTTTATGGATTCCTCAACAGGAACTTTCAGCGTGATTTGAATGTGTTTTTCCGGTTTTGCAAGCTCACCTCAAAGGATGAAGATTATGAGACAATAGCAATGTCAACAATGCATACAGATGTGTCCAAGACCTCACTCAGACTGGGTAGCCCAGAAATATAAGAAAAATGAATACAAAAAGGATGTGCACTCATGCTGCCAATCTAACAATGTTAACATTTGAATGTTCTTTATTTTAAAAAAAAACATTGTAACAGTGGAATGGTCAGATTAGTGACACAGAAAGTCTTAAGTTTGGATGGCAAATGTTAATTTAATTAACCTTTCTTTTCATGTATGGATACATAGACTAGCTATCATTCCTTATTCAGTCCTGAAACAGTATTTTTAGGAATGTGACAAGGTATCTTAAAGAAATCTCTGTATCATTATTAAAATTTCAGATCAAAACAGATAAAAAACTTAATCAAGCAAGTATTAAAACATTTACAAATCCATAAAAAGCAGGGACTTTGACTGTGGTAATGTTTTTTTAATTACATTGTTTAATGCTTTATAGTCTTGCTTTGGTTATGAAATGATGTATTGCCAAAGCTGTTAGAATATTTACCATATAAAGATGGTTAACCATAACAAAAGCCCAAAACATAAGTACAATTTAATTGAAACTTTGTTTATTTACAAAAGAAATGATTTAAAGAAATTGTATCATGGAATTGTTTTTTTTTTGCTCACTCAAAATAAAGAGGAATGAGGAGGCATTCAAGTTGAGTTATATAAATGTTTCTAGACAGAAAAGTGAAGCCTGTAAAACAATACAACAATACAATGGTTAAAATATTTAAGGATGAAAATGGAAAATTTAATGTGTTGTAGTGTTAATCGCAATTCAGTTTCAAGTTGGTCATAAAAAACTTTGTTCAGTGATAATCTTGCATTAAAATACTTCAGAAATCACTGATCTCTCAGGGGATTTGTAGAACTAGGGGCCTTATCATTCTGGAAATGTGATGTTTACACATTTCTCCAGAAAAACTAATGATTGATCAGCTTCTGGCCTTAGTAAAAAAAGCAAACATTTCCATATCTAACCTCATGTTTGTATCCAAGATTACTGTCTTCATAAAAGAAACTTACATGTGAAAAAATTCTAGTTTTAAAACTCACCTCATTATTGTTCCCCATTCTTTATTGGCAGAAGCATTCATTATTACTGTATACTTCCATGTATGTTAAAATTAATGATCACATATTCAGTGCAACATGCCACTGAAACAGTAAACTTTTAGAGTTTAAAACTGAGCTTGTGCGACACAGCTTAGCAATGCAACCACATGAAAAAAAATCAAGGCACAGAAAAAGAATACTGTATAAAGAATAGTTCCTGTGGTTTAAGATTTTTTTAGGGTCTTTCTAAATAGCCAAAGAGCTTTCCTTTCAATGGGGGATGTGTCAAAGATTGAAATAAGTAATTGCTGGATGAATCCAAATTCTGAGGCTGCTAACATGCTCTCACAACAGCTGCATAGCAGTTAGTTTTAATTATTTTCAGAATTTATTTAAATATATGATGTCGTTAAACAGAAGTTCGAAAGGAGATCAAATTGTAATCTCATACTTCCGCTCTCTTAAATATTCGCCTGCATTCCACTGCACCCATCTTTTCTAGCATTTGCCAGTTTGGTATTATCAGATGCTTCTCACACTTGGCATTGCTAAGTCTTTACTTTTCTCATGTTCGTTTCCTCCAAGCCAGGACAGGACTCATTTTCTCGCCTCTCCTCAAGAAAGCAGCTTCAACCTTAACCTCTCCATAGAAAACTACTGAATTAATCCCTGCATCTCCCACAATGTACCTTATTTTATTCCAGTTTATTCCAGTAAAGCCGTCAACCTTCCTTAAGCTGGAACAACTTCCAAAGTTGTTTCTAACAATTTCCAACAATTCCACCCCTCATTCCACTCTCTCACTACGTGTCTGCCCCCTTTTCGGTATTTCCCCTTTCCTTCTTCATTTTCGCTTTCTCTGTTGTAGTGCCCCTGGTTGTTAATGTCCACTTTGCCCCAACAGTGTCAGTCGGCATTGGGTTAGGGATCCTCATTTGCAGCCCTTGTTGTCCCAGGTTGCCATGGCAACACATTCACTTCTGTTTTAGCTTTCCCCCTCTAGTTGCTGTCCAACTGGTGTGGTGTAGGCCCATAATTCTTTTCACCACCCCAAGCCACCACTCTATAATGTAGCTAATAATTCTCATTAACAGTTGCTATCCTACTTCTGCTTAAGTACAGTTCTCCTCAGGCTACTCTTTCTGGGTCAAAGCACCGTTTTCCATAGAATTCCAGTCTCATTCAATCTAGGGTTTGAGGGCTGTACTGCCACCTGATTGTTAACTTAATTACCAGTTTCTTCATTGTACGGCTTCTCATTCCCTTTATTCTTCTTTCTTGTTCATCTGGAAACATTACTTATCGGAACCAACTCGATCAAACAAAGTTAACAATACTATAGCTCATTTTTGAAAATCTCTCCATTGGTGTTTTGGGGATTCTTTTTGGGGTTATTGACAGCTCTTATCTTTGGCCTTGGCTTTCATTTCTTCTTCCAGATGAGCTACGCCAAACACTAAAGTATTAAGTATGCTATTCCAGTTATCTTTATTGACCCATTTAGATATCATTAGAATTTGACAGAATTACTTTATTGGTGTTGTTAATCCGAATTTTGTAAAGAGGTCTAATTGTAATTTTGCACTTCTGCTCTCTTATGCATATTCACCTGCTGTCCACCTTTGGCCAGAGCTGTTATTTCCACAGCCAGGCAAGGTTAAGCCAAATATGAAAGTATACTGTATGTATGTTACCCTTTTTATATTAGTTGGCTTATTTTGTCATAATTAGATTTTAACCAAACAAAAGGTGCTCATGTACAGCGCATCTAGTTCTAAAATGTTTAAAGTCGCAATTTAATTTAATACAAAATCTTACCTTATTTAATTGAAGGTATCCTTGAAATAAGGATAATGTGGCACAACAAAAAGCACAACATAGAGCAGATACCAAAGTAATGGTAACTGAGATTTTGATCTTGTGTTTCATTATAGTGTGATGCAGACACTCATATAGAGGGCTGTAGTTCATACCATGGTTGTACATGTGATGGAGGAGAACTGAATAATTCAGTACTATTTTTCAGTTTTAATTTTATTATGGCAGGGCAATGAGTTAACAAGGATTATATCATTCTGATTTTTAATGTTTTTGTGTACAAAATGTTTTACAGTGTTTCAAAGTGTTTAAAAAAGAGATTTAAATCTAGGTTAATAAAAAAGAAAACATTAACCATGAGTATGAATATTTGGATATGTTCAAATATTGAACATTTAAAAAGTTTAGCTGATGTATCAAGAAAGAAATGTAAAGTTGTATTTTATATTAAGTATTTTCTATTAATTGCTTATCAACAAACAACACCAAAATCCTTCCGAACCTCTTACTTTTAAAAAATATATATATTTTTTTAGTCATTAATGTCACTGAAATAGAATAGTTAGAGCACAAAAAATTGAAAGACCAATGTTAAGTTACTTAATAAGGCTTTGTGCCAGTAAGTGCAGCTGGTATGACCTGTATGTGTCATTGCATAGAGTCTACCAGCATCTGCAATTCAGCAGGAGGGATACCAGTCTTCCATGGGAACATCAATCAACTCAATCCTGGTAGAAAGAGGTGTAATTTTTGAGGAAACTCCCTGCTTGCTGCCCATACTGACATCATCTTAGGCACCATTGCTCATGAATCGTCAGCCAGTGGGACTGTCTTGGTGACTAAAGTTCTTGGTAAAACACATCTCAACAAGCATTCCTCTTTCAAAGTCCCTGAGGTTTTTTCTAGCAGTCATGCGAGTCATAATTATAGATAGTTCAAGTACATAGCTGTGTCAGCATGCATAGGCTGCAAAGGACCAAGTAAAGGTTTGTTCCATGATGAAAAGAGAAACAAAGAAATACAACATTTTGGCTGTGGAGCCTTCATCAGGTGTGAAGAAGGCTTACCTGAAGAAGCCTTCACAGCAGAAACCATGTGTTTTTTTTCTTCTCTTTTCAGCGTGGAATAGACCTTTACTGGTTCCATAATTAAACTGTAGGTATCCAGGCTATACTGTACCTGCATTTCAGGGCAACCAAGTCTTGGCCAAACTACAGTTCAGTACATGTAGGTTTCATAGTTCAAATCATTAGTTCATAAACACATAGAAAACTCTCATAATGTCCACCAAAGCAGGTGACTATAGAATCAGATAGTTTTGAAATTATTTCAAAAGAAAATCTCAGCACCCTGTGGCTCTAAATGACCACAGCAAGTCACTCCTGACTTCATTGAATTAACGTTCTAAACAGGTCAAACTCATATTTGTCTCAAAGTCTGTACAAAGTTTGTATTTAAGGTTGATGTATAACACTTGCAACCCTGGTTTAAGGAGAAGATGTTGAGGAATATACAGAAGCTGAATCAATGTTATTGTGATGGGTGTACAGTTCATGATGTGAAAAGAGACAATGATATACTATAGAAATTCTTTAGGGATGCACTGTAGAAATATTTCACTGATCTAAGAAATACAGACCTATACAATGATTTATAAAACCCATTGTCATACCACATTTCATTCTGATTGTCTTCATCTACTATATAAATAGTACATTTTTGTGATTTTTAGTATTTGTTATTTTGTCTAATTACTCATTATAACAGTGTTGATTAAATATTTTTTGTTAGAATTTGTTAGAAAAGAGCAACCAGACACAATCCAGGTTTTAAGGGAAATGCCTATGCTGACAGGCTGAAGAAACTAAGCCTTTTTAGTCTTGAATAGAGATGACTACAATGCTTTCAATCTTCAATGGCTTTGAAAAGATCAGTAAATAGTGGGCAGTAAACAAAATAAACAGTGAAACATGAACTGAGTACATAAGTGGAAATTAGATGGAAGTGCAATTTAAAATTAGATTAGGAAGGATTCCTTTACCCAAAGGGTTGAGAGAATACGGAACAAGCCATCTTGTTTAGGTTGACCCTGGTTTCTTTCATAAAATGTATTCACATCATCCTGCTGTCCCTTGCTACAAGAATTAATGCCAATTTAAACCTGTTTACATTTATCTTTTAACTTTGTTAACTTTGTTTTCAGTAGAAGTTATATCACAGCTCAGTTTTCAAATGTCAGTGTACATTACCCTTTGTCTCTTTGACTTTTTGTTTCAATTGAATTGAAACACCAGTAACACCAGTTACCTATGCTTATTTAATCCTTATTGAAACCTTAATCAATGTGTTTAATTAAATAGGATTTTACCAGTATCTGGCACTCAGTCCATGGTTTCAGAAACGCTCTGCTTTGAGACCTTAACTGAGAAATGTTGCGAAACAAATTCACATTTTGACTTATACATTTGGCAGCCATATTGTTATCAAATACGCCCATATGTTTTACATTTGCCCCATCACTTAAATCCCAATACTCTTTATATGTAATCGAATATTTCCTGAATGGGCTAAGGAATTGGATATCATAATATCATTTTAGTCTTTAACTATAGAAACATATGGCATAGGTAATGTTGGCTCAGCATGTGTCTCTATTACAATCTCTCCATCTAGAAAACATTTGTCCCAAATTGGTATAGCTGACCCTCCAAGAATTTCATGGATTTATTTGGGTTAATGAGGAACTGTATTGTCCTACTGGCACAGTAGCTCATTCATTAG